TTTATTAAACAGACTGCAAAATTTCAACACGAAAAATAGTTAATAGAGCGTTATCATCAGTTTTTTTTCACTTAAATTTGTACAAGGATTTATAAGAATAAAAAATATTAATTGGAGAAATATTTTTTAGTGAACGTGTCGTTAGAATGTCATTATGAAAAATATAAATTATTAATGATTTTAACATCTCTGTTTAGAAAATTGTCAGCTTTCCAAATAAGTGTTACCAATATACCATTAATAATGCATAATGCATAAATTAGTACATACATATATAAGTTAATATAAACTCACAAATTTAAGAGCTTCTGGTTCTAACTTTAGACATACATATACATTTCATTATTTAATTAAAAAAATTTTTGATACAAATTTCTTCGTACTTTTTTTCGTCGCTATTGGGACAAGCAGTTAATGAAGATTCGAAAATCGAATTTGTTGGTTTGTGGAGGTTTTTTCATTTACAATAAGCCACAAATTATCAACATTTCCAACAAAAAAATATTTAACAAAATTCGTTGGTCTCTATTTTCATTAACATCCTTTTCCGAAAGTGCAATATTTAAGAATTTATACCCATTTCATTGAGCACGCTTTTTAACCCAAGTTTTGGTTTGTTTGTTAACATCAAAACTACATATCGACACCTAAGTGGAAGATCGACCTATCTCGGCAGCCAGTTCGAAAACTCCCTATCTCAAAAAACTGTTCTAGAACACCCTATTTCAGAATTTTGTTGAAGAACGCCCTATCTCAGAATGCGGTTAAAAAACGCCCTATCTCGGCAAATTTTCAATATATTTTCATTTGAGATAGGGCGTTCTTCAACCAAATTCTGAAGTAGGACTTTCTTAAAAAGTTTTCTGAGTTATGGCGTTTTTGAATTGGCTGCCGAGATAGGTCGATCTTCCAATCAGGTATCGGTATATTAATAAAAAATGATTAAATATTGTCTGCTGTAACCTATTTTAGAAATAATTTATTTATTAGGATTTGCAATTTGAAAAAATCAGTTCCTTCCAATTTTGGGAATCAAACGGGACGCCACACAAGCAAAAATCGTTTTCTACAATCTTTATTAACCTGAAGGGCTAGACAACAAACAACCGCTATGCGAACAAAGTTATAATACCCATGTGCACAAATGCGCTCGGGTGTAATTATTTCTTAAAACATTATTCTAAATGTATGTTTTGAGCAAATTGATTTCAAAAGTTAGAAAATTTTTCAAAAATGTATAATAATAAACATGTGAGTTTTTTAGCAATTTGTTTTCTGTAATTAAAGAAATATTGAATTTTTTGAATTTTTCGAAATTACCGTTTTATGGGAGGGACCAGGTTATTGTTTAATTTTTGTATTTTCAATACGCTTCTGCCCTGCATAAAGGGAAACCCGCGTACCGAATTTTCTTCCGATATCTCAACTTTTCCTAGAGTTATCGTGTACACAGACGGAGATGGACTAATCAACTTCTCTTTTTATTCTGGGCATTTACGGTATATACATACATATGTACATAAATGTAGTACATATCTATCTCGATTTTGGTTGTTCCAAATATCCGTTACGTGAGAAAAGTTATAGTACCCTACTGCAGAAGTGCGTAGTAAATATGTTTAAATAGTACACCTTTTAATTAATAATTAATAAAAAAAATTTTACAATGTAACTCCTCAACCCCTCTTTAAAGAAAACAAGAACCCTTATAAAATTTCGTTTTGAAAGTTTTCAAATTTGAAAACTGAAGAAAAAAATTAATAGAAAAAAAAATCATATAAATTAAATTTATATATACATATATTCTGCGAAAAAATGTCTACAATCAATTTTTAAACCCTTTTCGCAATTGGTGTACTCTTGTAACCGGTAAATTTTGTTACCATCTCATAAGCTGGTAACAAAATATTGCCCCGCCCCGTGAAATATGCATTGCCAGAATTTCCACAATTCTTCATGGCTGAATTGCTGAATATATAGCATTACCAACGTTCCTAGAATCGCGGTGACATGAACAGGTAACATTTTTTGGTGATAAAATTTTCCGGTTACAAAATCTTCGGTTACGTGCAGAATAGACCTTTTGTAGTTCTAAAAGTCTATAATACGAAGGGACAGATGCAGGTAATGAAATTCTTAAGTTTTTTCAAGCAAGAGTTTTAAAAACTCAATTCTATTGACACTGTTTTATATTTCTATATACAGTTCACTAATTTCGAATCTAATATATGTAAATGTGTGTATCAAGATGTGTCCTTTGTGCTCGACGGTTGCGATGTTTGTTTGGACTGATTTCGCACCAGTCATTAGCCATGGGTTAATATCAGAAAACGTCTATACATACGCGTTGAAATACATACATACGTATACATATATGTTTTTTTTCAATTCCAGATATGTTTAAACTTTAAAGTATAAAATATATCAACCCTGGGAAAAAAGTATTAGTACTGAATGGTAAAAACATGTGCATTCATTTTAAATATACAATCATGTGTGTGTGCGAATGCTTCTGTTACATTCACATTCCATACTGAATGTCAATCTACCATTCAAAAACACAACACAGTTTATTTGTTTTCAAGCATTTTAAGCCACTCAGGAATGAGGCTATTTTTTATACAAACAAACAATCAAAATTTTGAAAAGAATGTCGAGTGAATGCAGATCCTATTGATTCAATCATTTTACAGCTCTGAAAATTAATAATGAAATTTGGAGGATTTTAGATATTGCATACGGTAGCACGAAATGTCAATCTACTTAATTGTCAAGTTGTTAAGATGGCGACGAAAAAGTGACAATGGAACTACCTTCTTTTTTGTATCATGATCGCATCTGTATGTAGTACAAGCATCCATTTGCGCATGCCTGGGAAATGGATTTGCATTTGACTCCAGAACTATTATTTACAAATAATATCTACGAGTATTGCAGTAAAAGTCAAAAACAACTTTGAAGTTAACAAGTGCATTGTTTGTACATTTTTTTGCGTCCATCTTTAAAGTGAGTATGTGAAAAAACCAATTTTATCATTTTGCATTTTTACTATTTACATAATATAATATCTACTCGTACAAGAAGCGAACTTGAACAGATGCTTTTTAAGTTTTTAGCAACATTAACTACTGAATAAATTATATTTAACAAATGGTCATGCAGAAATGCAAATCAGCAATTCTAACTAATATAAAAGTACATTTAATATAATTTAACTATATTAATTTATTAATTTTATAAAAAAAAATATACATGAATACGTTTCTGCATTCACATGCAACTTGCAACAAATATAATATTATCATAACAGAAATCAGACTCAAAAGAAATTTTTTTTCTTCATTTAACACCCTAAATAGATACTAATAAAGTCGAAGATATCATATGTAAATTTTGGTCCCGATTGCAGTCTGTTAAGACGTTTTCATAAGGTAATCTGAAATTTGACCCCTGTGCCACAACGCTTGAAAAACATGGTATGGAGCTCCGGCTTAATGTGTGTTTTGCCATTTCAATATAGCCACCTGATTCAAATGTCATTTCTTAATCTTCAAGCAGCGCTAATCTAATTGTCAAAATACGTGTCATATTGGGGTGGTTTTCGTGTTATCTAAATTTAATGGCTTAATGGATTAATAGATACGCATACTATCTAGGATTGGGAGAAAAAATTCACCATTTGATTAGTTAAAATAATTTAACTTTGCGCAATCTAATCTCGCCGGAGTACAGTACACAAAGCATTTCTCAATCCTATCCTGAAGAACTGATTACCACTGAAGTCGTTGCCGGAACTAATGCAAAATGTCTCAACTTGTAAAATCTGGCTTAAGTTATTTCGTTAATGATAAATGTATTCACGGTTATGTGGATGATTTTGACTTCCTCAATGGTAAGAATTTTTTCAAGCATTTATGTGCACCAACTGTTCAATTAAATTACATTTTGTTTCCATATTTAGTTATCTGCTTTAAACAACTTCTCAGCAAATGTCTCGGCTATGGAATTATCGCGGGTTCTATTTTGGTTAAAGTACCACAAGTGCAGAAATTGTTAAATAACAAATCCGGTGAAGGTATCAACTTGATTAGCGTTCTCCTAGATTTAACTGCCATAACGTCTCATATGTCTTACAACTATGTCAAGGGTTACCCATTTAG